TCAGCAGTAACCGTAGGAGTTGGTGGGTCTTGTGCTGCTGCAGCAAAGTGGGGCCATCCTTTCTGAGATGGGAAAACGAGGAGTTGTCCGACCCCTGGACAGCCCTGTCCCCGGCCTCCTGGCTGTGCCGCAGAGAAAAATGGGAATGTTCCCATTGCGGTGATCGTCCTGGTGATACCAAGAAACCAGCTGGAAAGCTGAGTGGGAATGGTGTGGAAGCAGGGCTCTTCCACTCAGATCTGGAGCTGCTCCTACCCGCAAGCCATTGGAGTGAAGCTGGTGCAGATCTGAGAGGCTGCTGGTTCCCTGAGGAAGCAGAAGGATTTGTTTTTCTGTGTATTTTGGCTTTGGTCAGCTTTCCCTCGAGCTCCCAGGAGAAAGAGGTACGGCAGGGCTGGTCCTCACACCTCCCTTCCCCAGGCTGGAGAGCAGTGTGCTGCCAGCAGCCCGGCGCTGGAGGGTGCTGAAGCCTCTGGTGAGCGCTGTGTGTGGAACAAGTGCGGAAGGACAAGGTGGAGGAAACATGAGGATAATTCAAAAAATCATAGTAAATTCATACGTTGCCCTTCTGCTCGTGATGGTGGTCCCCGGGGGGCTGCGGTTTGCATTTTTCTGGCCCTTTTTGGATGCTTTTCCCAGTGCTGCACCTGTAGGTGAAGCCAAGACTTCATTCAACGTCCCAGCTTTTCCAGAGCCAGGATTTCACAAATAACTGTCTTTACAGTCAAAAAACCTCCAGGGAGTGAAATGAGTGACAGGTAGTTTCCAGGTGTCGATCCTGCCTGGCCTCTGCTGGTAAGGAGCGGATATCTCAGTGCTGGGAGGTGTTTCGGTGCTGATCACGGGTGGGAAACCCAACTTCAGAGCTGTGCTTCGCCCTGGCGGGAGGGCAGTGAGGTTGTTTGGGTGCTTGGTGCGATCGTTTCTGCTTCAATTTGCTCTGATTTGATTGTAGCTATGACATCGTGTTTCCTTCTTCCCGTGCTTTGAGATGATTACAGCAAATTATGTCGCTTGAGATATTTTTATTTTATCACGAGAAACAGAAGCACGAATTGGTCCGGGTCTCTCTGTGTCCTGGGCACTGGGGATGTGGGTGCGGAGGCAGGGTAGGTTATGGGGATGTGCTTAGTGGGGACGGGGAGGGCGTGATGAGTTTTCCGTCCTCTGCACGGGGTGTGCTTTCGCTCCCGAGACAGCGCTGCACATCCCTCCCCCCGTGGGTGCACCACGACCCTCCCGCCTTAAGATCCCGGGTGAAGCCTGCAGCCTCAGCAGAGGGTCTGACACCCTGTTCCTCCGTTTGCCCAGGCAGGAGCGGGGAAGGTGGGATCCTGCTGCCCACCCCACCGGCATCCTGGCGTGGCCACGAAAGCAGCTTCGGCGCGGGCTGGGAGCCGGGGAGGGATGTTCAGCTCGGCTAACTCAGCCTGCACGAGCAGCACCGCGACCGGCGTGGTCTGACCCAGGTGCCTTTCCCCTTTTTCCGGGGCTTTGAGGCATTTACATGATTCTGCCCAGTGATTAAAACGTGGGCCAGGCTGTGTTTGTGTCTCCTGCCTCGAGCTGAGCCCGCGGGCGGGGATCATTACCGCAGCCTCAATAAACGGGCAGCGACGGGCAGGAAATGATGCCCTGGCAAAGGATGGAGCGTGTCCGTCGCTGCGTGGTGCCGTCCCTGTGTCGGAGCATTTTAATGAGGGGCAAAAATCCCCAGGCATTGAGCTGGGATTGCACCTGGGGAAAGGTGATCCAGGCTTTGCTCCGGAAAGCGCAGAGCACTGACAGCCTAGGGGAGCAGGGACTTTGGGGTGACCCTGTGGCGCTGCCCTGGGAAAAGGCATTTTGTAGAAGGAGAGAGGGGTAAGAAAATGAGATTTGGGGGGGGTTAAATACTGCCAGAGAGAGGCTTGCTCCTGCTTGGCACAGTTTTTGCGGTTTTTGTAAACAGATGAAATTAACTTTGGGAAGTAGTACTGATGTTGGCAAACAGAAAAGTTGCAAATTGGATTTGTCCCCTTGAGTCCCACAGAGGTAATGGTGTTCTTTGACATAATTAGTGGTGGTAGATGTCTGTCAATTGTGATGAAAGCTGAGCTAGCGTGGTTAACTTCTGCTTCTGGTAGTGTTATCAAACAGTGGAATATATGAAAAATGGCCATTAAAGGCCGGCCTGGTTAGTGATGAGATCCCGGATGCTGTGGAGAGGTGGTTCCCATCGCGTTCTGGCGTGCGGGCCGCTCGCCCAGCCCGGGAGGGGCTGCTGGGATGCTCGTGGGGGGAGCGTGGATGCGCGCACGGAGAGAACAAGGGGCTCTCGAGCTGGAAAGAGGTGGCTGTGGCCGGGCTCGGCTGTAGAAGTGCCTCCACCATCCTGCTCCTCCCACCCCGTGTGCAGATGACGGGCCCGGGATCTGCGCCGTGTTTGGGTCGGTGCCCGTGGTGGGGAGGGGGATGAGGGCAGTGCCCCGGGCTGGACCAGCACGTGGACCTTGCAGCCCGAGGGGAGCAGGTGAACAGCGCGATCGGAGGCGACGGCTGCAGGCGGAGCCCTGCAAGGTGGAACCCTGCAAGGTGGAACCCGTGTTGCTGCGCAGTGGGTCCGGTGGAAGCTCGTGCTGTATTTGGTGGCAAAGGCGAGTTGCATGGAAGACTGTGGAAGGAAACGGATTCAAGCCTCTGCCCGAGATTGCCTTGGGAAGCCCCAGGGAGGTGGCCCTGAGCAGCAGGAGCAGCACGGTGTCCCTCTCCCAGCGAGCGTCCGGGCGCTGCAGGGCACTGTGTGCTCTGTCATTCTGATGCACCAGCTCAGGACAGGTACAAAGACAATATTCAAAGCTCAGGGGGATGTGTAGACCCTGCCAGCACCTTTGTGTGCCCCAGGATGAAAGGCACCGTGGAAATACTTGAAATGTTTGAAACAGAAAGTGGACCTTACGAAGGTTTTGGTTACTTTCCTTAATTGTGGCAAAGCGGTTTAAACGTTCTTGCTAGCTCTTTTTGCAGTTGGCAGGTACAAGATGCCAGTGGTGTAAGCCCATGCCCATCGCTGTGGTACCTCTCTGCACCTCCTGGGACAGAGCCCTTTGAATCCCTCATGCTCCCGTTCTGTTCTACCTGTGCTGGACACTTCCCTGGTGCCACGTGTGTTTCCAAAAAGCTGGTCCCGTCCCTGCGAGCGGGGCTGTTCCACCCGGCCGTGCAGCTCGGGAGCTCCCCAGCCTGTTGGTGGGAGCAACTTCGGCTGGCTGCTCGCCTCTTCCTTGGGAAGGTCTTGGTTGGCTTCCTGTGGGTGCTGCAAATGCTGGCTCTGATGGTCCTTTGTCCTCGGTGGCCACGATCCGCTTCATCTCCTGGCTTTTCTCAAGTGCTCCTCGTGTTTGTCAGAGGTTTGTGCGCTCTGGGTGCTCGGGGCTGGGTTGCAGACAGACCAGATGGTTGCGTTGGGAGATGCTGCCCTGGTGCTTCATGACCGCTTGCATTTTGCTCTGTCCCAGCAGGGCTTTGATTTTCTTCTCCCATTGTCCTTGGGCAGCTGGGGTAGGTCCTGCTGTGTAGGATAAGCCTTGTCCCTGGGCTGTGCTTCCCTGTCCCCATCACATCCTTTCTGGGTAGCTTCATAGCCATGAGACTTGGCGCAGCCCGGCGCTGTGCTCTGATGCTGCTTTGACTCTGGGTTGATGGTCCTTTTATCCAGATTGCTCTGGCTCTGACCTTAGAAACACAGCTTTGGTATTGTTAAATGAACGGTGGTGTTTCTCTCGTTTTCCTTAGCTGGCCCAAGAGCAGTGGGATTGATATGAGCGATAGCAGAACATCCCTCTCAGTATCTGTAGCATTTTGAAAGGGCTTATAAATGAGCCAGGAATAAAAACCACCCACCCACCTGTCTGTGAATTACAGGTTTTTCTCCTTTCTGTGCAGCCCAGAAAGGGGATGTGCTGCACCCCGGTTACGGCTGAGGCATCCCTGAGGTCTGTGCTTTACAGCATCCTGGCATCTCTCAGCCTGGCTGGCTTGGAGAACAGCCTCATCCCCCCAACTCCCCCAGTCCTGGCAGAGAAGCTACAGGCAGGTTTTACTGGTCCCCACGTCTTTTTAATCCAGAAAGAGATGACTGGGGAAGGGGAAATGAAGGGGCTGCTCCCTATTCTTCTGCCTTAGTGTTTTTTGGGTGCACCTGGAGAAACCTTAGCTAAACTTTGCACATAAGGATGGGGCACAGAGCCGGCACAGGACCTGCTCTGCTCTTGCTCTTTGCATTTGCTCTGGGCAATGCCGCCTCTCGGAGCCGCTCACCTCCTCCGCCTTCCCTGGGGGGGAGCAGTGGCATGATCTGAAGAAATGCTGTGTTACACTGGCTGCTCGGTTTTGGGCTGTTTTTCCAGTTTTAAGTCACCCAGGTGTTCTGGAGTTGCAGGAATAACCATTTCTGCTGTACCTGAAATGCTGCTCGCGGAGTTTCCTGCTCTCTGAAGATGTGATGATGGTTTTGGGTAAAGGCTCACACTCCCCGGTGTCTTTGTGACCTTCCCCTTGGGTGAAATAGTTTATCCTGCCCCAAGCAGACTTTGCAGAGCCCCCCGTGAGGTTTGTTCCTGGTGCAGGGGGCAATGACACCGTGCCTGGCTTCCGTGGGAGGTTTGGCACGTGGCCCTTCCCCGGGGGCACCAGCACCCCGCCCCCCCCCCCCCCCCCATCTCTCTCAGCCTTAGCAGCCCCGAACCAAATCCCGGTGACAGCCCCAGGAGCCCTTCGAACGCCACCTCGGGGCTCTGGGGGATGTCTGGCATCGCCCCTCCGCGCCACGCTCTGCTCCTGGGGGACACGGTGACAGCGACCCCGCGCCCCGGCAGAGCTGCCTGGGCGCTGGAGGAGGCAGGAGGTCCCCCTGCCCACGGCGATGGCGGGTTAGTACGGTCCAGGGGGTAACCATGGAAACTGTTGTGTGTTGTTTTTTTTTTTTTTTTTTTTTTTTTTCTCCATCCCTCCCTTTGCAGATGACTCGGGCGACGAGGAGCCCGCCTCGCAGTCAGACAAGAGCGAGCTGCACGGCACGTTGAAAACCCTCTCGAGTAAGCTGGAGGACCTGAGCACTTGCAATGACCTGATCGCGAAGCACGGCGCGGCCCTGCAGCGCTCGCTCAGCGAGCTGGAGAACCTGAAGCTGCCGGCCGAGAGCGGCGAGAAGATCAAGGCGGTGAACGAGCGAGCCACGCTCTTCCGCATCACCTCCAATGCTATGATCAACGTAAGTGCTGCCGGCCGAGCCGCCGCGGTTTTGCGAGGAGCCGGAGGGAGAAGGGTTTTTCTCCTCCTTCCCTCCGGCACGGCCCCCGTGTTGTCCCCCCGCACCGGGTTTCTGCCAGAGCTGCGTGGCGGCACGGGGCTGGGTGCTGGCTCGGCGGCGCGGGGATGGGAAGTTGGGAAGATGCAGCCCGGGAAGCGGGCAGGGGCGCGTGTAACCCCCCCCCCCACCCCACCCCACCCGAGACGCAGGTGTGCCGCGTCCTTGCAGCGTGCATCCTGGGGAGGCTGCTCCAAAACAAGACGTTTTGGATGTCAAGCCAGGTCGTGCAGAGGTTTGGAGTGCAAAGGGGCTTTCTGCCCTTCCTGCGGGGCGGCTTTCTGGCTGGCACAGCAATTCAGAGCCCGTCGCCCGCTGCGGACTCAGACCCACTTGCCTCCCCGTGGGCTTCATGAAGCTGCCCTTGTTTTACCCGAGCGGGGGATTTAACCCCCTCGGGGTCTGGCAGCTCTCTCGTGCCGGCTGTGCTCTCCCAGACCAGTTGGTTGGAGGTTGTGAAGCCTGTGCCGGCACCGGCGCCGCTCCCTGCCTTGTGCAGCGGGACCCCGCTTTCTGATTATTTTTTGGACACGTTCTGTTTGGGGTGTGGATCTGTTTCCATCGCAGTGAGACAGCTCTTCCTGGGGAGCTTTATTTTCCCTGGGGAGGAGAAGAGAGAGCAAAACTGAATAAAATATTTAAAGCAAAAAAAAAAAATACAAAAAAAAAAACGAATCTAAAAAAAAAAACAAACCTACCCAAGAGCCTAACAGACCTGGAATAATATATGAAGGCAGAGCTTGGGGAATTGTGAATGGAGCAGTGCTGTCGCTGTGCTGTCCCAGCCTTGAGCAAAAGGAGGTCGTGTGTTGTTTTATGTGAGCTTTTAAAAAATAATAATAATAATCCGCAGCGGGAGCTGGAGGGCACTCAGGAGCCCTATGGTCACATCATCCTCCCTGGCCCCGCTCGCACGATTTTGTAGCCATGGGGTGTGGGGGGGAAGGGGCTTCCTGAGATGCTGTCTTGCGTTTTGGAGCAGCTTCGGGGGTGCCTGGGCGGCGCTTTCCCTGCGGAGAGTTTGTTGAAGTTTTTGGAGCGGGGATGGCAGCGTGTCACAAGCGGCAGGAGGTGACAGCGGAGCCCGCGGTGCGGCCGGGAGCAGCGGGGGGGTTTGCTGCTGGGAGGCAGCCCGGCGGTGGGGATGCGGGCGGGGAATTGCTGGGGAGAGGATTTCTACAGCCGCCGTTTTGGGAAGGGATGGGCAGAGCAGTATTTGCTGTGGGCAGGCTGGAGGGTTGCGGTGGTTGTGATGTGATAAAAGCTTGAGTGAGGCCGTCTGGACAATGGGAAATAGCACAGAAACTGTTGTGCAGGGAAAAAAAAAACAGCAGAAACGTGGTTTGTCCAAAACACCGAGCGGGTAAAGAGGGGCCAAGGAGGGAGTGAGGCACGTGTTTTTGGGTGCATGTCAGGGATCTGTATTTAACAGCATCCTTTTGCACTTCAGCTTGTGGCTGAGTGTCTCGAGATGTCTGAAGGGGAAAGGCTGTAATGTGGAAGAAACAGGACGGGAGGGGAGTGACACCTCTGGGGGGGGTGCTTGTGGCTTTCCCAGCTTGCTGCAGAGCCTGTCATTTTGGGGGGAGGTGACAGAGGTGTGGGCAGAGGGACAGCGACCCCCAGCAAGCAGTGATGCCTTGAGAGGGATGGATTAGAAAGGCAGGAGGAGGGTGAGCACGGCAGGGTTGTGGGGGCCGGGAGGGAGGGGGACCCAACAGCCTGACCACCCCATCACGGTGGGCTGGTGCTGTCACCTTTTCCTGCACGGATCCCTTTTTGCGCCTTGATTTATCTTTACAGCACGGGGTGATGCCTTCTGCGAGCTGCTGCACGGACCCTGCCCAGGGAGTCTCTCATAGGGTGGGGGGGTGGCTGGGTGCAACGTCCTGAAATCTTATGTCGAAATGTGAAACATCGCTACAGGGAAACACGTGGAGTCAAGCCATCTCCTGGCAGCAGGTGAAAATACACCCTGCTCCTGCCCGCCTTGATCCAGGCAGGCTTCTCGGGGCTACGTATCCCATGGGGGTGCTGGATGCTTTTGACGGGCCGGTGGTTCCTTGCAGGAGAAATTAAACCACCCTTCCTTGCCAGCTTTTCCCCAGAGAGGTCCCAGCCAGCAGCCACGGGCTGGTGCCGGGATGTGGATGTGGATGCTCCCCGCCTGCTCTCTGTCCCGGCCCCAGCACCAAACCTCACTGATCCGCTCCACCTGGTGTGGCCAAATCCTGCCTCCGAGGGCATCACCTCTGCCAGCGCAGCAGAGACTGGCTTTTTCAGGAGACGCTGTGGCTCACGTCCCCACCTTGCCTGGCTGGGGAGGGTGACATGCCGAGATCGTGCCGCCTTCACTTCTTATTTTGGTTGCACCCCCCCCTCCCCGAAGCGGTTTAGGGCGGTTTGGACCTGCGAGCTGCTGGCTACGACAAACCCCCAGGAGCCGTCTGCCCCTGCCCTCTTCCCGAGCAGCGCTGGGCTCCCAGGAGCAGCTCCGGGCTGGGACAGGGCAGAGCCTGGGCTTTGCTGCCCGCAGCGGGAAGGGACGGATGCTCCGGGGCCGGTGCTTGCAGTTTCCGTCCGGCTGCGTGTGATCCGATTATGTAAATGTCCCCGGAGCCGCGGGGAGCGGCAGCAAGCAAGTAGAACTAAATAAACATATATGGAAAAGGAAGAGCTTCGCTGCGAAGGTGACCTCTTTGCTGTGTGCTCTGGGTGCCTGCTCTGGCTGTCTCCGGGTGCTTCTCCAGAGATGGGGAGGAGAAAGTGGCCCGGGCTGCCCTTGGGCGAGTGATGCTCGGGGTGACGGAGGAGGGTTTGGGCAGGGGCAGAGCGGGATGTGCCGGATCCTTTGCGTTACGGGTGAGGGTCGGAAACACGGAGGGACTGACTGTTGCAGGGCTTAAATTTAAGCCCAGGCCTCTGCGAGTGACCGGTTTGCTCTGCTCCCGTCCAAACTCAGAAATCTCACATAACACCACGCTGGGTGAGACTCGCAGCAGAGTTCAGCCTTGCCAGGACCAAGACGCCCCATGTCAGTGGGTCTGTGTGGAGTGACGAGGAGGAGACGCGGAAAAGCAAGTTGCAATCTGTCACGGAGGAGGAGTGGGAGGTACGTAAGAATAAGAAGCAACAAATTAAAGGGGATAATGAGAAGCACGGAAACGAAGAACGCTGTGCTCAATTGCGTAGACTTGTCCAAGGAGCCGGGAAAGCTCCTGGCTCATAATTTAGCATCAGACAGCAGGCAGGAGGGCCGTGCGGACATGCTGAGGAAGCCAGTTTGGGCGTCAGGAAGAGCTCACAGTGCTGTGGCTGTTGCTAGAAATAGGCTTTTAACGAGGATGGAATTTGCTACAGTGGAGCTCGGAGGTGGCCGAGCTGCATGGGAGCGTGCAGTAGCTGCGCTCATTTGGCTTGCTTTGTGCTTCCTTCAGGGACATGAGCCCGGAGAGCAGCAGGGATTAGGCTTGGCTCTGCATCGCTCCTGGGTTAGTTTGCATTTTTCCTTGAGGTTTATGAAGAGCAGAGGTGGAGGAAGGCTCTGCCAGGCCAGTGCAGCCCGGGCAAGGAGGGTTGAGGGAGGCAGCCGGGACAGGGGTGCGGTGCTGGATGGGAGATGCTGAGCGGGCAAGATTTTGTGAGGAAGAAGCCCTGGGTGGGCTGGTGGTCCCTGGGACCCAAAGAACTCCATGCCTGCCCTTGCGAGGCCACCCAAGCCCATCACGCGGAGGATGCCAGCACCCGCTTCAAGGCAGACTGACTTTCCCACTTGGGTTTTCCTTTCCCATGGGAGCAGACCCGGCTGGAGCACCGGCACCCCAAGGCATCAGCAAAGAAGCATCCTTCAACCCTCTGAACCTGCAGGGAGGGTTTTTAAGTTTGTGAAACCCAGTGCTTGAGCCTGAAGCGAGACCGATAACGATATGTGCCGCTCCTGCCCTGGGGAGGGCAGTTTGTTTAAGCCCCTCCGGGATGCCCAGCAGCTCCAGCCCCGGCAGCACGTCTCCTTGCAGAGCCCCCCGGGGCCGCGCTCCGGCTCGGCAGTGCTTGGGGGGGTCGCACCGGTGTCTCGAGGAGCAGCCGGCCTCTCCCCGCGGCCACGCTTGGCTCCTGGAGCCCTTGAGTGGTGTCTGCCCAGCGGAGGCATCGGGCGCGGGTGGGCTCCGTGGGTGGGTTTGCGGAGGGTCTGAGTGCTGGGGCCCCCCCAGCTGCTTAGTCCTTTTATTTGGAGATGTCCGGGGTGCCTTGTGCTGGAGCGAGCTGCCTGGGCAAAAGGTGTGCTTTCCCGGAGCCGCTCCTCTGCCTTCCTGTGTCCCAGCTTCACTGCTGTTTTCAAGAAGGGCTGAGCCTCCTCTGTGCCCATGGGGATGCTGCGGTGATTAACCCCTACTCCTAAAATTGTTCCCATATTAAACCAGGCTGCTGCTGAGCATGTGTTCAGAGCAGCCTCCAGTCCAGTGTATAATTTCTCATGGTTTATTTTAGTTACAGGTTAACCGCTGCATGTGTCTGTGCATGCTTGCAAAACTACCTAAAGCTGGTAGGAAAGAGTCCCTGGGCTCTCCTCCCTGGGACTCAGATGTTGGGGTGACTTTGTGGTTGGGGTGATGCTGCCGGTGCAAACCTGGCCAGATCTCAGCACTGGGCTGGCTGCTGGTGGGGGTGGGGGTGTGGTGCCGTCCCTCGGGGTCCCCAAACCCATCGTGATGCAGGCAGGAGGACAGACCCAACCTCCTCTGCCTGCACAGAGCTCCTGGCAACTGGGGCAGAGATGCTGAGCCGGGAGGGAACAGCAGCCTGCTGGGCTGCTCCCAGTACAGCCAGTGGGGCCGGAGGAACTTTCCATTGTGTGCATCCTTCTACCACAGGGGTTAATTCAGACACTACAGTGAGCAAGCTCC